TGCTGAAAAATCGTGTTTTTCGCATATTTTAGGTAAGATATCTTGAAAATCTTAGGTGATGAAGTAATTCTGACGTCAGATTCGGATTCAGGGTATCGAAAATTATTTGGAAGGTATAGTCTAGTCTTTGGTTTAAAAATTTGTCGGCCTGTGTAATTAATGATTTTCAGCGAAACCGATTTTTCATAATTTTTTAAATTTAACCAAAAATTATGTATAATAACTGTACTCCGAATAAGCTATTTATGTGTTTAGGTCAACTTTTATTATTAATTTGTCAAAATTAATCACAAGGTTATCAACATAATGTAAAAATGAACTCATTAAGACGATATAATCTTTGAATACTAACTAAAATTAAGAATGGTTTTAACTGGCAAGGTTGCTTTTATAACCGGTGGAGCCTCCGGAATTGGTTTAGCTTGTGCTAAACAATTTCTTGCTACCAACATTAAGGTAAATAATTCAAAATAAAAGTATAAATTACCATAATATTCTTTACAGGGTGTTGCTTTAGTTGATATAAACGATATCGATGGAAATAAAGTATCCAAGGAGTTGAACCAAATTTATCCCAACAAAATAATTTTTATAAAAACTAACGTTTCTGATAAGAACCAGGTTAAAGAGGCCTTTGAAACGGCTATAAAAGAATTTGGAAACTTAGATATCGTCCTGAACAATGCCGGAGTAGTAAATGAGTTTGAACCAAATAAATGTTACGATGTCAATATTGTGAGGCTATCTTTTAATATTGTGAGGTTTTTTATAGATAACTTTTTTCTTGTAGGTTGGAGTAACGAATTGTCTCCAATTAGCAATTAACGATTTTCTTCCTAAATTTAAATCGAAACATTTAGATGGTATTGTAATAAATTTATCATCAATTACAGCTCTTAACCCAAAATCTTGGTTCATGCTCCCTACTTACGTTGCATCAAAATCCGCGGTTTTAGGATTATCCATGTGTTATAGCCACCCGTATTATTACGAAAAAAGCGGAGTGAAAGTTATTGCTATTTGCCCAGGACTTACAATTACTGCTTTACTTGCGACGAGTGAGGTTACCGAAAACGAGGATTTAATGAAAGTGATTAATAACTTGCCCACTCAAAAGTAATGCTTAATTAACTTAATTTTTAATTTTAATTAATTCTTTTTTGATTTAGAGCTGATGTTTTGGGAAAGAATTTGATTCAAATCATAGAAAAGGCAAAAAATGGATCGATTTGGAAAATGGAAGCTGGATTAATCGAGGAAATTGATTCAATAAAAATTAATTAATAACAATTAACTTAAACCATTTATTTCAAATTTAAAATTTTTCATTTTCATTAAAAAATAAACAGAAATCGCCCCCTGAGAGCACAAAATTTCAATTTTCACAAATGTGAAGAAATTTTAAGAAAATCGTATCTCAAGAACGAATAAAGATATCGTTATGATATAAAGAGCATTTTGAAGTAAATTTTATGGAGATTTAATGTGCCATAAATAATTTCTTATTTTCCATAACCATCGTTGTTATGATTTTTTAAATTCAACTATGCTAATTTGATAGTCATAAATATTAGATTTGTTTATAGTAGATTTTACAAGCAAACTATATTATCAAACATATTACGTAATATACATAGAAATGAAGATTAAAGTATAAGCTTTAATTTAAGATAAAAGTCGTTTCTTAATTCCTATAAATAAAGTTGGCATGATTTTTTAAAGTTTAACAAATATTTTCGATTTTTGCTATAATTAAGGATAGACATTTTTCGATTTTATAAACAAACTTTATCATCAAACGTACTATTTGTTATACATAGACATGAAGATTAAAGATTAAGCTTTAATTTAAGATAAAAGTCGTTTCTTAATTCCTATAAATAAAGTTGGTATGATTTTTTAAAGTTTAACAAATATTTTCGACTTTTGTAATATTTAGGCTTTGCCTTTTTTCGATTTTGTAAACAAACTTTATTATCAAACGTATTATCTTTATTATATAGAAATGAAAATGAAAGTTTAAGCTTCAATTTAAGATAAAAGTTGTTTCTTAATTCCTATAAATAAGGTTGGTGCGATTTTTTAAAGTTTAAGAAATAGTTTCAATTTTTGCTGTCATTAAACATTAATATTTTTCAATCTCACAAACAAATTTTATTATAAAACGTATTACTTATTATACATAGAAATGAAGATTAAAGTATAAGCTTTAATTTAAGATAAAAGTTGTTTCTTAATTCCTATAAATAAGGTTGGTGCGATTTTTTAAAGTTTAAGACATAATTTAGATTTTTGCTGTTATTAAACATTGATATTTTTCAATTTCACAAATAAATTTTATTATAAAACGTATTACTTATTATACGTAGAAATGAAGATTAAACTATAAGCTTTAATTTAAGATAAAAGTCGTTTCTTAATTCCTATAAATAAAGTTGGTATGATTTTTTAAAGTTTAACAAATATTTTCGATTTTTGCTATAATTAAATATTGACATTTTTCGATTTTACAAACAAACTTTATCATCAAACGTATTATTTATTATACATAGAAATGACGATTAAAGTTTAAGCTTCAGTTTAAGATAAAAGTCGTCTCTTAATTCCTATAAATATAGTTGGTATGATTTTTTAAAGTTTAACAAATATTTTCGATTTTTGCTATAATTAAGCATTGACATTTTTGGATTTTACAAACAAACTTTATTATCAAACGTATTATTTTTATTATATAGAAATGAAGATTAAAGTATAAGCTTTAATTTAAGATAAAAGTCGTTTCTTAATTCCTATAAATAAAGTTGGTATGATTTTTTAAAGTTTAACAAATATTTTCGACTTTTGTAATATTAAGCATTGACATTTTTTCGATTTTGCAAACAAACTTTATTATCAAACGTATTATCTTTATTATATAGAAATGAAAATAAAAGTTTAAGCTTCAATTTAAGATAAAAGTTGTTTCTTAATTCCTATAAATAAGGTTGGTGCGATTTTTTAAAGTTTAAGAAATAGTTTCAATTTTTGCTGTCATTAAACATTAATATTTTTCAATCTCACAAACAAATTTTATTATAAAACGTATTACTTATTATACATAGAAATGAAGATTAAAGTATAAGCTTTAATTTAAGATAAAAGTTGTTTCTTAATTCTTATAAATAAAGTTGGTACGATTTTTTAAAGTTTAACAAATATTTTCGTATTTTACTATAATTAAGCATTGACATTTATCGATTTTAGAAACAAACTTTATTATCAAACGTATTATCTTTATTAGAAATGAAAATGAAAGTTTAAGCATCAATTTAAGATAAAAGTTGTTTCTTAATTCCTATAAATAAGGTTGGTGCGATTTTTTAAAGTTTAAGAAATAGTTTAAATTTTTGCTGTCATTAAACATTAATATTTTTCAATCTCACAAACAAATTTTATTATTAAACGTATTACTTATTATACATAGAAATGAAGATTAAAGTATAAACTTTAAAAAAGTTGTATTATCTTTATTATATAGAAATGAAAATCAAAGTTTAAGCTTCAATTTAAGATAAAAGTTGTTTCTTAATTCCTATAAATAAGGTTGGTGCGATTTTTTAAAGTTTAAGACATAATTTAGATTTTTGCTGTTATTAAACATTGATATTTTTCAATTTCACAAACAAATTTTATTATAAAACGTATTACTTATTATACATAGAAATGAAGATTAAAGTATAAGCTTTAATTTAAGATAAGAGTCGTTTCTTAATTCCTATAAATAAAGTTGGTATGATTTTTTAAAGTTTAAGAAATATTTTCGATTTTTGCTATAATAAAACATTGATATTTTTCGATTTTACAAACAAACTTTATCATCAAATGTATTATTTATTATACATAGAAATGAAGATTAAAGTTTAAGCCTCAGTTTAAGATAAAAGTCGTCTCTTAATTCCTATAAATATAGTTGGTATGATTTTTTAAAGTTTGACAAATATTTTCGATTTTTGCTATAATTAAGCATTGACATTTTTGGATTTTACAAACAAACTTTATTATCAAACGTATTATTTTTATTATATAGAAATGAAGATTAAAGTATAAGCTTTAATTTAAGATAAAAGTCGTTTCTTAATTGCTATAAATAAGGCCGGTATGATCTTTTAAAGATTAACAAATATCTTCAATTTTTGCTATAATTAAGCATTGACATTTTTCGATTTTGCAAACAAACTTTATTATCAAACATACTATTTATTATACATAGAAATGAAGATTAAAGTTTAAGCTTCAATTTAAGATAAAAGTCGTCTCTTAATTCCTATAAATAAAGTTGGTATGATTTTTTAAAGATTAACAAATATTTTCGATTTTTGCTATAATTAAACATTGACATTTTTCGATTTTACAAACAAACTTTATCATCAAATGTACTATTTATTATACATAGAAATGAAGACTAAAGTTTAAGCTTCAGTTTAAGATAAAAGTCGTCTCTTAATTCCTATAAATAAAGTCGGTATGATTTTTTGAAATTTAACAAATATTTTCGATTTTTGCTGTAATTAAACATTGACAGTTTTCGATTTTACAAACAAACTTTATCACCAAAAGTATTGCTTGTTATATATAGAAATGAAGATCATAGTTTAAGCGTTAATTTGAGATTAAAGTCGTCTCTTAATTCCTATAAATAAGGCCGGTATGATTTTTTAAAGATTAACAAATATCTTCAATTTTTGCTATAATTAAACATTGACATTTTTTGATTTTACAAACAAACTTTATTATTAAACGAATTATTTTTATTATATAGAAATGAAGATTAAAGTATAAGCTTTAATTTAAGATAAAAGTCGTTTCTTAATTCCTATAAATAAAGTCGGTGTGATTTTNTTTGCTGTCATTAAACATTGATATTTTTCAATTTCACAAACAAATTTTATTATAAAACGTATTACTTATTATACATAGAAATGAAGATTAAAGTATAAGCTTTAATTTAAGATAAGAGTCGTTTCTTAATTCCTATAAATAAAGTTGGTATGATTTTTTAAAGTTTAAGAAATATTTTCGATTTTTGCTATAATAAAACATTGATATTTTTCGATTTTACAAACAAACTTTATCATCAAATGTACTATTTATTATACATAGAAATGAAGATTAAAGTTTAAGCCTCAGTTTAAGATAAAAGTCGTCTCTTAATTCCCATAAATATAGTTGATATGATTTTTTAAAGTTTGACAAATATTTTCGATTTTTGCTATAATTAAGCATTGACATTTTTGGATTTTACAAACAAACTTTATTATCAAACGTATTATTTTTATTATATAGAAATGAAGATTAAAGTATAAGCTTTAATTTAAGATAAAAGTCGTTTCTTAATTCCTATAAATAAAGTCGGTGTGATTTTTTAAAGTTTAACTAATATTTTTAATTTTTGCAATAATTAAACATTGATAGATTTCGAAACAATCCCGAAAGATTGAGAAGATAATATCGTCTTACCAATATATAATAAAGGAAGCTACTCGAAGTGTAAGATTACAGAGCTATATGCCTATCATCTACAAGTTACAAATTATACACAAAGATAATACAAAAAAGAAGATAAACAAGCAGCATACAGAGCAAGCAAACAAACAAACTATAACATATATGTTTATGATATTTCGGATTATATGTATATATATAATACCTAATATTCTAGGACCTAAAAGCAGCTTTTGACAACCGTAGTATTATATAGAAGTGTCTAGAACAACTAATGGTACCACAAAAGCTAACAAAAATAATTGAAAACCTGTACAAGTCAAGGGCATAGTACAAATAAAGGGAGAAACATCAAAAACTTTTGAAATGAGCAAGGGAATAAAACAAGGCGATATACTCTAAGCAGAACAATTTTTGGAAGGAAGGTGCCAGATAAAGAGATAAAATTGAAAGTGTACAACGTGGTGGCAGTGCCAATATTAACATATGCCAGAGAATCATAGACACTCCATGATAAACAAGAAGGAAAGATCACAGCAATGGAAATTAAATTTTTACGGAAAATAGTGGAGAAGACGATGTACGATAGGATAAGGAATGACGAAATAAGACTACGAGTACATCAAGAGGAGACAATCAGCAAAATTGAGAGAAAACAACTAAACTAGTACGCCCACTTTACCTATTCGTAGATAGATTCGTAGATCTATCTAGATATTGACGTATCTAAGAGAAAAGTGCAAGAGAGCAATATTGTTAACAATAAAATTTGCAACAATTTTTGTTATAAAAGATTTCTTATAGCAAG